GGGAGAGAGGCAGAGGAAATGTTTCTTATCCAGGTCTTAGGGCCTGCTCTGTGCGGCCCCGGAATGCAGAGTGTGGGGGGAGTGCCAGGCACCCCAGCCAGCAGTCGGGGGAAAGGCGGATGGACCTTTCTCGACGACATCAGATTTGTTTACACATTTCCTTTGATGCCCAGCCCCACTTTTCTTCGCCCAATAACTCGAGGGGCGCAGGTGCCCACCCCCGGGACTGGGTGCTGTAGCCGGGTCCAGAGGGAGCAAGCAGCTCAGTAGTTTTGATCTTTGGGCCGCTAGGGCCAAACCCGGTGTCTGCACTTAAGTGCACAGTAAGCATGTGTGGTGTGGGTGAGGAAATGGCATTGGGCCATAATTTCCATTAACTGACCACTCCTGAAGTGCTGGAGTAACCTTGGATAGGTCACCTGTCTTGCCTGAGCCTTAGTTTCCACGTTAGCAAAATGAGACTGACCCCAGCTGTTTGGGAAGATTATTGTGAGGATTATTGAGGCAATTGCTTGGGTGCACTATAGGGGTGAGCATCAGTTAAAATCCCAAAGAGCTGCCTCATGGCTACCCCTCCCCGTGAGGCTTGGTATTCCATTTTTAAAAACTTTTGGTTTCTGTTGGGTGGATAGGACCCAGCCTCCCTCTACATGGTAAGCAAGTGTTCTACCATTGAGCCATACTCCCAGCCAAGTTGGTGCTCCATGTGACTGCAGTTTGTTTTTCAGGATTGAAACAACAAGATGGCTGACCAGGACCTGGGGGGCATTAGCCCTTTCCAACAAATGGTGGCCTCAGGGGCTGGGGCTGTGGTCACCTCTCTCTTCAGTAAGACCTGGGAAGATGGGATGTGAGCAGATGGGGATTGGGGTAGACCAAAAACCAAAGGTGGCACCTTTGTTCTGGGGGAGGGTGAAATGGTGGGGTCCTGAAAGGAGCCTTCTCCCCCAGCGACACCCTTGGATGTGGTGAAGGTCCGCTTGCAGTCTCAGCGCCCCTCAGTAGCCAATGGTGAGTACCTGACCATGATGCCAAATGGAGGGGTGGGGGTCTGGACAAAGTGAGGATCTCCCCGAAATGGGGTCCTTTAGGTGGGTGGGTAGCTCTCTTGACTTGAGGGGCTGCCTTGTATTTTAGAGCTGACACGTCCCTCCAGACTCTGGAGCCTTTCCTACACCAAATGTGAGTGCCCTAAGCCACAAGGAGCATGGGAGGGTTAAGGGAGGGAGTGTCCCAGTGTCCTCAGGTAAATTGTGGGCCCCCTAGTCATGAGCTAGCACTACCTTCAGATTATGTCCCCTTGCCCTCTGTCCTATATAAGAACATCCATGCAGGGATTCCAGCCTCAATTGGCCTACCAAGGATGGGGACTCACCACCTCCCTGCAAGGTTCCAGGGCCCTGTCATCCTAATACCTCTTCCCCTTCCCCAGCACCTTCCTCTCTCCCATCCACAGGGAAGTGTCTCCTATACTGCAATGGTGTCCTGGAGCCCCTGTACCTATGCCCAAATGGTACCCGCTGTACCACCTGGTTTCGTGATCCTACCCGCTTCACTGGCACTCTGGTGAGGAGCAGGGAAGAATGATATTGCAAGGCACGTAGAGGCAGCCAGTTCATTTTGGGAAGGGCTTCCCAGAGGAATTAGTGCCTCTGAGGTTTTTGTTTCGTTTTGTTTTCCTGTATTGGGGTCAAACCCAGGGCTCTGCCCACGTTAGGCAAGTGCCCTACCACTAAGCCATATTCCTAAACTTCCAAAGGCTTTATTATTGTTATTATTTATTTATTTATTAGTTGTTGATGGACCTTTATTTTATTAATTTGTTCATACATAGTGCTGAGGATCGAACCCAGTGCCTCACACATGCTAGGCAAGTGCTCTACCACTGATATACAACCCCAGCCCCCAAAAGGTTTTGAAGGGGGAATTGGGGTCCACCTGGAGCTAACTGGTAGGCTGTAGGTATGGAGACCTGAGGGACTAACTACTTCTCAGGGCTGTGAGCAGAGGCTGAGGGCATTAGGCCAGGGCCCAGCCTGGTCAGCCCATCTCAGGCTTTGTTCATGTCTGTTCTTTCCCCTTTTTTCTGGTGCCCATGTGGCTAGGATGCTTTTGTGAAGATTGTGAGGCATGAGGGCACCAGGACCCTGTGGAGTGGCCTCCCAGCCACCTTGTAAGTAGCCAAGTCCTGGGTATTCCCTTCCTTTGGTGCCTGTTGATCCCTTGCTCTCTCTCTCTGTTGGCTGGCTGGCTGGGGCAGGGGATGCTTGGGAGCCTTTGGGAGTCCTAGCTTACCTCTGTCCACATCCCTAGGGTGATGACTGTGCCAGCTACTGCCGTCTACTTCACTGCCTATGATCAACTCAAGACCTTCCTCTGTGGGCAAGCCCTGACTTCTGACCTCTATGCACCTATGGTTGCTGGTGCACTGGCTCGCTGTGAGCATAGGCCTATGCCCTTGATCTCCCTCTGTCCCTGCCTGTACCTGAGCCCAGTCAGTCCCAGTTCCCAGGCCTAAACTGCCACCTTGAGGGTGGGGGGATGTTTTAGACCCCCGGTCCTAGGTCAGCAGTGGGAACTACCATATGGGACCTGAAATCTGAACTCTTTGCACTGTCCACCCCCTGCAGTGGGCACTGTGACAGTGATCAGTCCCTTGGAACTTGTACGGACAAAGCTGCAGGCTCAGCACGTATCATACCGTGAGCTAGGTACCTGTGTCCGGGCTGCGGTGGCTCAGGGTGGCTGGCGCTCATTGTGGCTGGGCTGGGGCCCTACAGCCCTTCGAGATGTACCCTTCTCAGGTAGGCATCCAGGAGTATAGGGAGTGGGGTATGGGAGTCCTGGAATGTTGTGGCCTCCTCACCTCTTATGAGTGCCCCCCACTTCCCAAGCTCTGTACTGGTTCAACTATGAGCTGGTGAAGAGATGGCTGAATGGGCCCAGACCAAAGGACCAGACATCTGTGGGCATCAGCTTCGTAGCTGGCGGCATCTCAGGGACGGTGAGTTGACTGGACTAGGTTTGAGGCCAATGGAGGTATCCCTGGGGGCACTTGAGGGTTGATGGAGATGCCCAGGAGAAGAGTCCTCACCAGCAGTACATTACATCAGGGTCCTTAGGCATACCTAGAAGGCCTTTATCCCTCTCCAGGAGCCACCAGTGTGCCAAGGATAGGGGTCATGGGAATGGGGATGAGCTAGCCCTCTTCTCACCCTACCAGGTGGCTGCCGTCTTGACTCTACCCTTTGATGTGGTGAAGACACAGCGGCAGGTAGCGCTGGGAGCTGTAGAAGCTGTAAGAGGTGAGCTGCCAGGCAAGTGGAGTGAGGGGCGGGCAGGGGCCCAAGTTGATCGTGCTGAATCGGCCTTGAATTTGCAGTGAAGCCCCCGCGCGTTGACTCCACCTGGCTGCTGCTTCAGAGGATACGGGCAGAATCAGGCACCAAGGGACTCTTTGCAGGTGGGTATCTGTCTGTGTGAGCCTGCATCTGTTTGTCTGGAACCCTGACCCCTGACCTGGGCCTTCCTTCTTGTTTTAGGCTTCCTCCCGAGGATCATCAAGGCTGCCCCCTCCTGTGCTATCATGATCAGCACTTACGAGTTTGGCAAAAGCTTCTTCCAGAGGCTCAACCGAGAAAAGCCTCTGGGCCATTAAATGGGGCCAGGAGATGGACTGTCTAGCTCTTCCCGTGGATCGGGGGCAGGAGGAGACTGAGTCAAGTGCCTTTTCCTCAGCACTCAGGGGACGGGCCTCGTTTCCCTTTTCTCCCAACCAAGAGCCCCAGGTAGGGCTGTCCCCCAACCCTGGGCCATCCAGGCCTTCCTTAGACCCAGCTAGATTCCTGTTGCTCCCCCTTTCCAGGATCATCACTTTCCCACCCCCAAGTTCAAGACCAAATCTGTTCTTTGCCTGCCTCTTGTGTTTGCTTTGTGTTTGCTGTAGCTGGGCCTCCAGGAGCCAAGAAGCCCTGAGCTAAGTGTTTCCCTGCCTCTTCATGCTGTCTAAAAATGATGAACTTCTGTGTGGTGCTTCTGTCTGCTGCGGCCAGGCATGGGGGGAGTGGCCTAGGAGGGATCCTGATGCTGGCTTTGACTGACCAGAGTGGCACCCATGAAGAAGCCCTCCTTAACTTAGGGAGGGTCAAGTTGAAGACCCAAAATTGAGGGAGGTGACAAGTTGACATTGTGGTCGTGAGGTCCCTTCAGTGTGGACCCAGTGTGTTAGAAGAGAGAGATATCTCCCCAAAAGCACACTTAGGTGACAGGGAAAGACAGGCAGTTTCTTAACTGCCAGGTTCTGGCTAATGGACACGTTTGCAACTTTGGGATAAAGCTGAAATGGTTGGATCTGTGGCATGGAAACACTCCCCAGGGCTGACTCTTATCCTGTCCCCAGAGGGTTCTATCTCTTCTGGTGATGAGCAGGTATTAAAAGAGGTCAGGTTGGGCTTGGGCTGTAGCTCAGGGGTTGAGTGCTTGCCTATCACGTGTGAGGGACTGAGTTTGATCCTTAGCCTCACATAAAAATAAACAAAGGCATGCTGTCCATCTAAAACTACTAAAAACAGCAACAACAAAAGATTTTAAAGAGATCAGTTGGCCAAGCACAGTGGTACATGCCTGTAATTCCAGCAACTCAGAAGGCAGAGGCAGGAGGATTGCAAGTTCACAGCCAGCCTCAGCAAATTAGCAAGGCCCTAAGCAATTTAGCCAGACCTTGTCTCAGAATTTTTTTAAAAAGGCCTGGGTGTGGTTAAGTGCCCCTGGGTTTATCCCTTGTACCAAAATAATAAAAGAAAGTCAGGTTGAAGTGGCATTTTCAGGTCTTGATCCTGCCCTGGGCAGACTTCATTACTTACAACATGTCATACAGAAACAAGTTGGTTCTGCTAACAGTGAGCCTTGCCTTGTTACAGGCCTGGCACTGGCTCTACTGCTTTCTGAACTTGGCATGGGGCCCTATCCCAGACCCCCCCCCCCCACAGATGAGGCCACCCTCAGTCCTCTGGTTTTTATTTGCCTGATCCCCCCAGAACCCCCATGTGGGGACGAGGAAGGAGTGACTCCAGAGGGTACATAAGGACAGACTAGAGAGGCAGGGCAGCAGGGTCGCCAAGGCTGGGCCGTCAGCTCTTGAGAGTGGGAGATGAGCGAAGGAGAGTCCAGAGGGATTCAGCTAGGCCTCAGGACCACCAGAAGAATGGAGTGGCTTCCCCAGTACTCCCTGTGGCCTTGGTCTTCCTGCCTCCCGCCCCCACTGCTTCCCTTTACAGCCCCGGCCTCCTTGGGCAGGAAGCTAAAACAGGCAAGAAGCAGGGGTTGGTTATCTTTTCCTCAGAGACCCCTGGCTGGGTGGGCAGCATTCTCTGGAAGGGCAGCCTGGACTGGGGGGATTCAAGGAAAAGTGGCAGGTGTCCATGGCCCCTGGCAGGTGGGGCTGGATTGCCCATGCCGCTTCTCAGCTGGGGCTCAGTGCTGGACTGCCCTCGGGACTGTCGCTCACCAGGCACTCGTTGGATTTGAAGCTCGCCAGGGACTTGCAGCTGGGGATGGAGGCCAGGGAGCCGCAGAGGCCCAGCATGGAGGGCGTGGGGTCCTTTCCTGGGAAGAAAGGGCGGGTGAGGTGGGACCAACCATTCTGCTTGTGTGTGAGTTGGGAGAGGGGAATGCAGGGTGGGCAGTGAAGGGACAGCCCTCAGGTCACCCACTGAGACTTTCTTGATCTCTTCTGGAGCATTTGTCATTTTCAATTAAACCTTGATTAAGCACCTGTTTCTGTCATGCACCATGCTGGGGACACTGTATTGTAATCATCAGTTTATGTCTCTCTCCCCCTGAGGTTCGTTCTCTTTTTATCCCTTTATTAATCATGCAGTGAGCAGTCGCTCTGTTCCAAGCACTGGGGATACAGAGAACGGAGAGACGTGGTCCCTGCCCTCAAGGAGCTCACAGTCTGGTGGGGGAGACAGACACACAGACAATCACAAACACAGTGTGGTGGGTTACATGTCCACAGCCTGCCTTGTCTCAAAGAAGATCTAGGGTCATCCAATACAGTGTGGTTATAAAAAAGACAGGAAGTCCAGCACAGGGAGAGCTAGGATGGGAAAAACAAGATGAAGCCAGGGGTGAGGGCAACACAACGCATGCGTTGAAGTCCTGGGTATTCGCTCGAAGGGAGCCACTAATTTGGCTCTGAGCTTCCTGGCAGCCAAAGAAAAGGGGGAAACAATGGTCAGGCAAGCAGTTCACAGTGTGCATAAGAGTAAATTAGGCTGAGGGATTCCCCAAGAATTTGTAAGCCCCATGAGGCTGTCATATCAAAAAGCCATTGAGCCCTCGCCATAAGCCAACAATGGTGATCATTTTTACCAACATTGCCATTGGACAGGTGGGAACAGGGCTCAGCAATATAAAGTGACTGGCTAAGTTTTCACAGCTTAGGGGAGGCATGGCCAGGATTTGCATTGGGTTCTGTCTGACACCCCAAACCAAGCTCTTCACGGCTGTCCTAAATGCTCAAGAAGGGCTGAGAGTATGAGGGGCTTGGCCAGGGCCTGACTGCAGACAGCTGAGGCCCTTCCTGGAGGGGTGCTGAATGCCAGGGTGGGGGGCTCACCGATGGGGCCCCAGGGCTCTTCGTCCCGCTTGCCCTCTCCTAGGCGCTGGGAGTCAGAGCTCAGACTGGCCTCAGCTGACAGCGGTTCGGTGCTCATGTAGCTGTGTCTGTAGTAGAGCAGAGAGAGATGGTGCTGGCAGAGGCCTACAGCCCCAGGCCATTCTTTCCTGGGGGCCCAGCACTCAGCCCCAAGCTAAGCCTACTTGGGACTTACCTCCTGTAGAGCTTGGATTTGCTGGTTCCCTCAGCCCCATTGAGTGTTCCCAGCGAGGGCCACTGGCTGACCAGGGGTGTTGTGAGTTCCTTGGAAGCCTGGGTCAGGGGGGCGTGGTCACCAGGGATCAGACCTGTCCTGGGAGGGGGAGGGGGGTCAGGCCTGGCTGAGAAAGGGAGCAGAAATAGGGAAGGGAGACTCAGCAGGGAAGGGGTTCGAGCAGGGGATAGGAAGGAAACCTGAGTAGCAAAAAGGTGGAAACAATGTTGGGGTCACTGGGGCAGACCCAGGCAAGCATGGAGATGGCACTAGTGGTTGTTGGAATGGAGTTGTAGGAGTAAGTTGGGATGGTGTGTGTGTGTGTGGTGTGGGGGACAGTAGAGAATAGTAAGTCATAGGAGATGGTGCTGAAGGGTCACGATTAGGGAAGAAAAGTTACAAAAATCTTTATGGGGATCCATAGGGGTGAGGTAGGGGTCTCCGGCGTGCAGCATTAGAGGACCTACGATTCAGATCCGGGTGTTAAACAGTGGGAATGATAACAATCACGTTGAAGGTCTCTGAGTAACAGAGGTCCTGTGAGTAAATGTTGGGGTCCCAGCATTAATGTAGGATGGCCACTCTAGCTGATGTGGGGAATTGAGGGGGACTGTGGGAGGTCACTGGCTCTTATGTTGAGGATAATGTTTGGAAGATATTGCCCAAATCTCAGGGCAGAGGTGATGACATCTGTGAACTGATGCAGGTGAGTTGGAACGCTGGTGTCAGGAAAGGTGATGCTAGCCAGTGGGGCTGGTGATGGGGTTCACCGGGATGATGTGTCGGGGATCAGGGGCCAGGACAGGCGGCCGCGCTCACAGCTGCTCCTGCAGCTCAAGGATCACGCCTTCGAGCTCCCGCTTCTCGCGCTGGTTCTGCGCCGCAGCCTCCTCCAGCTGCAGCAACAGCCGCCGATTCTCCGCCTCCAGGTCCTTCAGCTGCGACTCGCGCAGTCGCACCAGCTCCTCCAGGTAGCCCTGTGGGGCGACGGCACGGCCTGAGCCAAGCCGGTCCCAGCTACTGCCCTGGCCCTGCTCACCCGGTAGCTCCACCTCGGGCAGCTCCCTCGCCCCAAGCCACGCGTCGCGCACCTTCTGCGCATAGACGATGCGGAATTTCTGCTCCATCTTGTGCCACTTGTTGTACCAGCTGTCCTCGTCAGTGACGAGCGGCAGGTAGGGGTGTTCGGGGGAGTTGTCCTCGCTCGTGCTGCTCTCAGCGCTGTGCCGCTCCTCCTCGTCCGTCAGGTAGTCGTAGCTTGCGGGAGGGAGCAGTGGGTAGGGCCAGCCCTGCACTGCCCCAGCCTCGTCCTATACCCACCGGGGTGTGGACTAGGATGATGCTGTGCCCCGCCTCCTGTCCGCCAGCAGAGTACCCACCTCAATAATGGGCGCTCACCTCTGGGTGAACTTTAAATAGGGCGTGTAATCGATGACCACGGGAGTCTTCCCGTCCAGAACTTCGCCCTTTAGACAGAAGCTGGGGCGGAAGAGCCAGAGTTGGGGGAGGGAACGGGAATGCGAACATTTTGGAGGAAAACAGTCCCCTTGCCCCCCTACCACCATGCAGACCCCACGACCCACCTGAAGTCGATGACGCTCAGTCCTATCAGCATCCCGGTGAGGAGAGTGGCCTCCTCCCGCAGCATGATGGCTCCGGAGTCATAGAACCGCCTGTGAGGAGCCGGGAGGGACTGCAGGTACAGCTAGACCGAGGAGCCCCGCTCCCAGGATTTATCGGGTTTACTACAAACTTCCTGCTCAGTACTGGGGGGGGGTCTTGTCTTCCCCTCAGACTGGGGCTCCTTGGGGCTAGTGCCGGTGTCCCAGCTTAATGGAATGTGTTCTCTAAGAAAAGACTTCTCCATCCTCTCAGGTAACTAATCCCCACCAAGTACTTGGTCACCTGATCCTTTAAATCTTAAGCATTTTATGCTTGGCATACAGTAGGTACTCAAAAAATGAATCACTCTGAAATGATAGGGATAGATTGTAGTAAAAACGTAAATTGAGTGTGGCCATGTGACAGGTGGAGGTACATGCCCAGGGCTGTACCCAGACAGTGTCCCACAAACCTTCCTGCACAAGCACATTCTGCCTTGTTCCCCTGCCCCAGGAACCCAGTCTCTGGGAACCTTCAGTTTAGGGATTAAAGCTCCCCACATAGGGTCTGTGTGTTCTTGGGAAGTAAGTATAGAGCTGCTGCATTGTTTGAAGAACTTCACGCTCAGTAGGGCCATGGGCACAGGGTCACAGGTCATGGCACAGGGCCAAGGAGTAAAACAGACCATGGTTGAGGCTTGTTCAGAATTGTGTCCAAGAGTAGAGCTATGCATGCGGGGGAGGCACTGGAAATAAAGGCAAATAATGGGCAATAAAATGTGACCTGGAAGTGTTGGTGATGGTGCTAAGGTTGACCCAGAGAGGTCTGGAAAAAGTCCCATTGGGACTACAAGTCTCAGTGCATGCTGGGACTTGGAGTCCAAGTACTAAAGGTTGTTGCTGGAACTTATGTTCAGGCAACTATAAATGGGCACACTGGGACTTATGGTCCAAGCTGCCTATGGGTCTGACCTGGTAGTCCGGACGTCCCGCAGGGCTGTGGTGATATATTCTGACAAGCGCTTCTCCATCAGTGCTACCCGGATCCATGCCCGACCCTGCAAACATGCTCACATTTACTTGTCCCAGAGGGACCCATATGTCCAGCATCAGGTGTGGCCCTTCTCCCCAGTGCTTTGGGCAAGGGGTAAAGATCAAGGAGCAGGCAGGCACACTGTGTCCAGAGCAGGAATTAGTTGCCTTGGCCCTGCCCACCTCAGGCCCCTCACCTTGGCTCGGGCAGTACTGATGTTTTCCATGTTCTCGATGCTGCTCACACAGTTGTTGGGCACTTTGCTGCAGGCCAACCGGATATAATCCCAGAAGCCCCGCTGCCCATCTGAGCTGAACCAGCTCACTGGACCTGCTGGGGCACAGGCTGAGCCAGGGCAGGGAGGGGGCTCAGCAAAACCAGGGAATTTGGAGAGGATCCACACAATGAGGCACTTACATGCATCAGTGTAAGAAGCCACGCCCACATATCCCACCTCCCCAAACGTATGTGCACACACACGTGCACACAAAGGGCATGCCAGCACATAGCTGCATGCACAGTGATGGCAGAAGCCCTGCTCCTTTCCCCAGCTGTGCACATGAGCTGTATATGGCCCAGAATTGGGGGCCAGGGTCAGTAATAGGGTTCAGAAATCCATGGAGGATATCAGAGTGGGGTGCCTAGAAGCTAAAGGCTGGAAGTTGGAAGGGCTGGGGAATGAGGGGCAGGAACTCAGGCCCACCTTTGAAACGGTGGCTGAGGATCTGCTCCAAAATGGCTGCAAAATTAACAAACTCCTCAGATGAGTCATCGATGGGCTCTGCTGTGTACTTCTCCAGCAGGGTTTTCACAGAGAACCTGGTTGGGGGTAGGGAGACGGGGCAGTGGGGGGTCAGGTGAGAAGATAGGGTGATGGTGGTAGAGGAAAGGTGTCAGGCAGAGAGGGAGTGACTGGCAGAGAAGAGGTCATGAAGGGCATGGATATTGTGGGGAGGCAGGTGAGACTAGGAGGACCATAGGTTTGCCATGGCATGTGGTGTGAGAGGGTAGCAGATGTGTGTGGGGGGGATGACAGGTAGGAGACTGACAAAGTGGGTGACAGGAGAGGTGACAGCCAGAGAAAGGAAGCTTCAGGAACAAGGTATGAGAGGGGATGAAACAATAGGTAGAAAGATGAGGCACCAAGAGCTAGGAGGCTGTCCCCAACCCCTTCCTTCTGGACTACCCTCAGAGTTGTATTCTCTTGTGTGTGGGCTGAGGGTTGACCAGGAGTCAGAAACTGGTTTGTGACCCTGTCCTGAGCTGTCTTCTGTTGTTGCTAGAGCAACCTTCCATTCCTCAGGGGATGAGGCCAGTCACCTGTGCCTGGGCATGTGAGTTGGCATATGCACATGGAGCATGGGCGTGCATGGGTGGCCAGGTGGGCTCTCAACCCACAGATGTCCTCCTCCCCATGTTTCCTTCCTGGCTTTGTCACCCACATACCAGCTGCCCAGAACTAGACAGTGCAGAGCAGGGTAGAGGGAGGTGCAGGGTATGGGTCTGAAATGCACATTGGGTGGGAGGGGACATTGGCAGCAGATCCTTGAAAGGGGAATGGGGGCCCAGACATTGGCTTCTTAGGGAGGCAGGGAACCAAGGGAAGATAGTGAGTCTGAGGGCCTGGAGCCAGGCAGCCCCCATCCCGCTCCCCAGTGCTGCTGGGTGCTTCCTGCTCCCTCTGCAGTCCCTGCCCTACAGTCTCCACCTGCCACCCCTGCAGTGGAGTGGAGCAGGGGTAAGGACATGGCTTCTAGCATCCCATTATCTCCCTGTTATGGGGGGCAGAGAAGGGGTGGGGTGTCGAGGGATATGGAACATCCTTGGAACCCTCCTTTCATCTTTGTTAATCAAGTTCTGTAATGTGCCAAATGAGGAGTCAAGCAGGTATGTCTGATTCCAAAGCTCTTGTTATTTCTGCTATGTCTTGTGGCCTCCTGGCGGCTTGTCACAATTACTGAGGACCTGAACAGCTTCTGACTCCTCAGCCCTCCACTCTGCAACCCTCCAGTTCTGGAGCATTGGCCTCTGAGGCTTTCAAGCCAATGGCATTGCCAAGCCTGTGTCCCTCATTTTCCCTTTAGGCTTAGAATGGGTCTGGCTTGAGATCAGAGCCAGGTCAGTGTTGAGTCACATTAGAGGGGGTCGTCCTGCTCAGTTCAAATCCTATTTGGTTGGGTGAAAACAGGAATACTAGTTCTTGCCTCATTTAATTTTGGTTCAGATCCCAGGCAGGGATGGGGGAGGGTAAGTGTGCACAAGCTGCTGGGCAGGGGTGATGAGAGCTGGGCCACTAATGGAAGGCTGGCCCTGCTGGGAGGAATCCTGTGTTCAGGAAGTTATCTGGGTTTCATTATGCACCCCTCTCAATTTGATTTCTCTGGGTCATCTGGGTCACACCTTGACAGGGGCCTAGGGCTGGCTCAGTATGGCAGCCATCTACCATCTGTCCTCAGGGGTGCTGCAGAGCTGGTCATCGCCCCCAGGGAATCCCATGGTGTGTTCCCTCTTAGGAGGTGCAGTGACTGCAAGTTGCCATGGAGACAGGGAGGCCAGGGCCCAGGGGAGACTGCTGCCTGCTAAAGGGAGCCGTTCTGGGAGGCGGAGGTGAACCATGTGACAGTGAAAAGGCAGCAGGGGTCCCCCAAGGTTTCTGAGCCTTTTTCATGTCCCTAGTCCCCCAAATTTTAACCTTATCCCCCAGCTCTAAGCTACCTCCAGTCTACCTGAACCTCTGCGTCTCTAGTCTAGGCCAAGGGGAGTTCGTTCCTTTTCCCATGCACTCAAGGGGCCCAGCTCACCTGATAGGCAAGAGAAAGGAGAGGAACCTAGGAGGTCAAAAGCCAAGAGAGGAACATGAAAAGTGGCATCAGGACAGGACTGATTCTCTGTGCCAGGCACTGGGCTAGGCTTCTATATACTAGGCCATTACCATTTTTTGGTATGGCTTTTATATCTAAAATGGGTATGATGAGGGACCCAAGGCCCAGAGTGGTCGGGAGTCATTTCCAAGGTTGCAAAGCTAATACTTGAGGTAAAAACATGATCGTAGGTCCATCTAGCCTCAAAGACAGAAATCTTCACTTTATACCACACAGACAAGATTTGGGGAATAAGGGTGGAGGCGGCAGCTCATGCTTTGGGCTGGGTCATTGCTGCATTCCTTTTTTCCATTACATTCCAGGCATCTTTACAGAGGTCTGATGTGCACAGCTCTGTGCAAGTCACTAGGGATGTGATGGAGTGGGACAGATGCAATGTGACTGGATGTGTGCTCAGGAACCTGGAAACAGCTTTGGGAGCCAGAAGCAAGGGCATCAGGTGGACGCTGACTCCTGGGAGAAAAAGGGCTGAGGCCATGTGCAGGCAGGTGAGGTGGCAAGGGAAGACAACCCAGTCCTGCACTCAGGAGCACCCTGCCCTGAGAGGGGAACACCTGGTGGGCATCAGGCAGAGGAGACTGCAGATGGAGAAGGCAGCTGGCATGGAGATCCCAGAAGGGATGTGCAGGTGGGGGACCAGGGAGAGACTGAGTGGCTGGCCATTTTGCTGGCTTCAGGGTTAAGAGAGGGAGGGTGAGTCACACTGCAGGGTTGAAGTGGGAAGGATTGCTTCCTTGGCCCCAAGAAATCAGAAGAATTTTCCCAAACCTGCCATAGCCCCACCCTCAGGAACCAATGCTTCTGACCTCCCAATTTCCTCCCCTTGAACCCAGGGACCCAGGTTTCTGTGGATAGGCCCTGGGTTCTTCTTACAGCAGAGCAGTGCCCCTCACCCTTTACTGGACAGGTTCAGGGCCTTTGCCCACATGCCCAGTTGACTATCACAGGCTAGGGCTGCCCAGAGCCGGAGGAGGGCACCATCCTTACTCCAGGGTCTAGCATTAGGAGGTCTCCCAGGAAACCCCTGCCTGGGAAAGGCCAGGCTGACAGGGGTGGCAATGAGGGTACTTGGAGGGCATTCTTTCCCCCCATGGGTTCCCCACTGCCCACCCTGCTCCCCACTCCCAGAAGAGGAGCCAGCCATCTCCACCCCTCCCCCTCACACACAATGTCACTTCCTGGTTCTCACAGGAAGCTGCAGTGCCAATTAAACACCCCTCACCCCGCCAGGCCCCAGGCTGGGAATAGGCCTGGATTGGCCTAAAAGGATAAGGACCAGACTTCCCACAGCCCTCCAGGCTCTGGGCTTGGGAGAAACAGAGGACACGTTCCTTTGCATCCCCCCCTTTTCTCCGTGGCTGCTGGGCACCCTCCCTCCAGCATGCTCAGCCCAGGGTTCCGCAGCTGGCCCCAACCCCTCTCCCTGACACACCACCCCCGCCCGCCAGCGGCGCCCACCTGCACACGGTGATCAGGTTCCTACGCTCCACGGCCACGTTGCGGGAAGACGCTTTCTTGGAGGATAGCCCCAGAGCCATGGTGGTCTGGACAAGGCTCGCTTCCATCCAGATGTGCGGACACTGATGCCGCCGCCCGCTGCCCCCCCACCCCTCCCGGCTCCCCGGCCCCCTCGCCAGATCACGGCTGGGCCCTCTGTCCACCAGGGCCCATCGACCCCTTCACCGCCATCCCTGTGCCTTTACGCCGGGTGCCGGGTCCCCTTGCTCCCTCCCCCGGCGGCGATTCTGGAGCAAAACAAGGCCGGGGAGGGAGCTCTCCGAGGTGCTGAGCCGGGGCCCGTCACCCCCTCCCCCAGCCGCCCGCCCCCCTCGGCCGGTGACGTCAGGGCCATCGGGCTCCGCCCCCCAGCAGACCGGGGACCAATCCGCAGAGGGTGCAGGGTCTGGGGGAAGGGGGAAGGGCTGGGGCCCCTGGGAGAGCGGAGGGGGTCCTCGCAAGAGGCCGAAATTGCCCGCAGGAACAGAGGGGCCTGTCCTCCACCTCCACAATCGAGGCCCGGACTGCTCTTCGCGTTTCTGAGCTCCGAAGCCCCTACTCCCTTATTTCTGACGCGTGATCGTTGGTGTCTCTCTTTGATTACCCCTTGTCGCCTGGGGAATGTAGGTGCTCACCACCTGTACCTAATCCCACCCCACCCCCACTCACTCAGCGTTAGCATTCTGAGGCTCCGGCTGCATTCAGAGTGCAGGTGGCCCTAAGGTGCTAACGCAGGAGGAGGCTAAGGAGCAGAGACACTGCGTGTCTATCTATATATGTCCGGGAAGGATTTGTGTGCATCAGTCTGGCAAAGCCATCTCCTCTGGGGTGTGGGATGGAGAATGAGAACCTAGAATAAACCAACTAAGACCAGCGCTTGGAACCAATAGGACAGAGATGGCGGGGATACTGTCAGCTAAGGCCCTGGGGCCTTGTGGAGGTTCCCAGCAGTAGAGCTGGTGTCCACAGTGGTGCCAAGGCAACTGGAGGGGTTAGCAGCCACCTCTCTCACACCACTCCCAGGGCCAGCTGGCCTAAGCGTTAACCCTTTGGCTACCGGCATTGCTGCACAGTGCCTTTATCCCTCTGAATGGGTCATTGATCCTGCGCAAGGCCGGGCGTGGGGTGGGGGTGGGGGCTGAAAAACTGGTTGCAGCTTTTACTAGGAGGTGGGAGAATGAAGGCATAGTCTGGCTTCTCTGCAGCCCTTGGCCTCCATATTGTTCTCTCACCTGCCTCACTCCTCTGTTCAACTTGTTCTAGGATTCAAACATTACCTGTGTTTTTGAATTGGGTTGCTTGTGTTTTTGCTGTTGAGTTTTAGGAGTTCTCTATATATTCTGGATATTGATTCCTTATATGATATTATTTGCAAATATTTCATCCCGTTCTGTGGATTGCCTTCTTATTCTGTTGATACTGTCTTCTTCCTTCCTTTCTTCCTTTCTTCTTAGCTTTCTTCCCCTGACCCCTTTCTTTCTGGTACTGGGGAATGAACCCATGGTGCTTTATCACTGAGCCACATCCCCAGCCCTGTTTATTTATTTATTTATTTTAATTTTGAGACAGGGTCTTGTTAAATTGACCAGGCTGGCTTTGAACTTACTCCTGCATGGGCCTCCCAAATAGCTAGGATTACAGATATGCACCACCCTACCCATCTAAAAACCTTCATTCTTAAAGAATCTGAATTAGAGTGCTATACTTTTTCTTAACTTTAACTTTTAGACATGGAAGTAGGAAGAGGTAAATCAGAGAATCCTCTGGGTTCTCTGTCTTCATTATATAGCTCATACATAGTCCTCTTCATATTTGGAATCTGTCACCCTAGAAAGGAACCCCCTTTTTTTGCCTGCACCAGGTGAGTCTTAATTTCCAGTTTAGTGGAACCATCATTGTATCTCCTGGTGAAAGGATTCCTCCTTTGGTGTAGTAGATGCTGTCTGTGCCCTCTCATTCGCTAAGCTCTTGGGTATACTGGATGAATTTCCACTGCCAGAACCTGTTATTCTCTACCTGAGGGCTCTGTCTGGCTACTGGAGTCTGCTGGGCCAGCTGGGTGAGCTGAAAGTTCAGGGGAATTGTATTCCCATCCATAGCAACCCTCAGCCAATAACTTGTGGGAATTGGTGAATAGATAACTAAGGTTTCTCATCCCTCTGGTAGGATGGTTCTGTGGCTCATGTTATTACTTACTCCCTGAATTATGGAGGGGGCTACAGTCAACGTTTCACTGGGGGGTTCTTCTTCTGCCCAGAAGAGTCCAAGCCACCTTAAATATTAATATCTCAGATAACTAACAAATAATAAAACATAGACACTCAGAAATATATTTACAAATAGTGAAGCTCTGATAGATCTAGTCCACAAGGGTTCTTGAACTAGAAAAAAAGAAAATGGCGCCAGCAGTTTATTTAGGAGGGTACATCAAAGGCGGGGATAAGGTTTCAAGGGCGATGTCTTGCTTCTTGATGTCTTACAGTCAGCAGGTTGATTAATGTCTTGTCAGGTCGCACCCATCTCAGGTGCTGTGTGGGCTTGAGTGGGAAAGAGAGTCACACTGTCCCTGGACAGTTGGCCAGAGGAAATGTCCACTAGCCATTCCCAGACACCAGAAGTCTCTATCCACGAGGCTTCCATGCGCAGTGACCCACAGGCAACCCATGAATGGCTGGTGACCCTGAATTTTCCCACAGGACAAGGCACCGGTTGCCCACATTCTTCACTTGCTTGATAACACATCCTTTATGAGCCTTCCTCCCTTCCTGTTACATTCCACTCACTGGCTGGGTGTTCCTAGCATCACCTCTTTGAATCCTTGGCTCAGGTGCTTCTGGGCTCAGAGGGAGAGTCCCAAACCAACACAGTTGGTATCTAAAGTTGTCCTAGAAAGAAGATCCCCAGGATAGAATTCTGGAACTGCATGATGCACCATCCAGATGGCAACAAGTATTCCATTGTTGAGGTAAGTGGGGTACTAATGCCCTCTGGAGTACCATCATTGTGAATACTAAGTTCTCATTGTGGTGAATTGGGATGGTAAACTGAGAGGCACTGCCTGTGTAATAGCTCTAGTATTTGATTTGTTTGTTTTGTTTTTTGGTGCTGGGGATCAAACCCTTGGCCTTGTGCATGCAAGGCAAGCACTCTACCAACTGAGCTCTGTCCTCAGCCCCAGCTCCAGTATTTGAGATATAAGAGGGAAATAGTAATTAAAGGATTGTGATATTGGCTGGTTGCTGTTACTTGCTATCAACATGCTAAAAGAAAATAAGGCAGTTTTGAATCAGCCAACCATCAACTCAGGGTACAGTGTAAAAGCCAGAAGGTCTCCAAGGCATCGATAAAGGAAGCTCTTATCTCCTGCACCTTATGCAGGAGAGACCATGCTGAAAATCAGTCTCACAATCTGATGTGAAAGTAGCAGAGTTTTATATGTGAAGCCCCAGCAGATCAGGGCTCTGATAGGAAAGGAGTAGGATCCTGAGACCCAGTGTGTGCATATCCACTCTGGAATCCCCAGATTATCCTCAATTCTTTGGGCTGGCATAAATGGCCTCTCACCCTTGGTGGAAAAGTAGCTTTCCCTTGTCTGATAACATGCCACATTCTGAGACAGATGCCTCACAAGATGATACTTGCCTTCTTCAAAGCCTGACCCTGGCTCCTCTTCATGATACTAGAGTAATCATTCTGGTCAAGTCTCATCATGGACCAAGTGTGGAAGTACTATCACAGCTGTGGGAAGAAGTATATTATCCACCAAAAGAGCTATAGGAGCTGGCTAACATGTACTAGCAGAAATTGGGAAAACATGCTTGGGAAGGGACTGAAGTCAGGGAATGGAATACCGGATGAATAAGGGGGAGTTTATTGATGTGGGATACTCTATCATGACTAAGGATTTAACATTTTAAAGGCTTGGCAAGATATCGGAAGCCAGTTGTAATGTGCCATGTGCCACTGAGAAAGATCTAAAAAGTTTGGGGAAAACATGGGTGACAGCTAATGAGAAGGAGAGGTTAGAATTTCCTTAGTGGAATACTGGGGAAGAGGACAAAAGGTTCAGAGAGGTGAGCATGCCCGAATGAAGTTATTACCATAGAAGGGCAGAGAACCCTCTAATCTAACTGTGTTCCTCATGAGGGTTCAGAAATATTCACTTCAAAAATGTGCTAAGAAATGTAGTAGTTGGTGGAGGGCCACTGACATCTTTGCAGGTCCATAGTAGCTACCCTCTTCTGGCCCGAATTGATAGTAGTGGAAACTTCTGAGGAACTGGGCTTCCTGGAATCAGTGAGTATGATGGGCATCTAGAACAGGAGCCAGGTGACACACTGAGTCATCTGAGGCAAGACAGACATAATTACCACAATGTGCAGAAAGACCAGACCGGTTAGCAAGGATCTGCTTTGATGGCCAGGAGACCATGGCATTCTTAGACAGCTGGACAGCAAATGAGGTTATTTCTTATATAACCAAAAACAAGCAAGAAGGAGAGAGCAGGAAGCTGTTGTCAGCCACCACACAGGAAGATCCCAATCCTTTACCTGGTTCCCAGACCATTTTTCAGATGCAGAGCTCATTGATTCAAGGAGACTCTTCCTAAGCCACAACAAGTTTATATCATAGGGACTAGAGATGTGGTAGGATGCTACCTAGCAGGCACATGGCCATCGATTTCATCCTCAGCACTGCAAAAAAAGAAAAACAATGAGTTTATTTCATAGTTATTATCCCACTTTTCCTTCCCTATAGCTTACTCAGGAAATGTGCTGTGTGCCTGTGCCCTCTTCTCCCTAAGGTACTGACTAACAGTCATTTATCAGAAAAACTGTACCCTGAGTGTTATGGTTTGGATGTGAGATGTCCCCCAAAATCTCATATGTGAGACAATGCAAGAAGGTTTAGAGGAGAAATGATTGAGTAATGAGAGCCTTAACCCAGTCAGTGAATTAATTCTGTGACGGATTAACTGAGTAGTAACTGAATGCAGGTGGGGTGTGGCTGGAGGAGGTGGGTCACTGAGTGGGCCTTGGGGTATATATTTGTGAGTGGACTCTCTCTCTGCTTCCTGATCATCACATGAGCTGCTTCCCTCTGCCATTTTCTTCTAC